ACTAGGTTAGCCCCCATGTTCCTGTGGTCATTCTTCTTTGTTTACACTCGTTTGGCTGGTTTCAGGGGTCTCTCCTTTCCACTTCTCATGCTCTCTTCTGAAGTTTCTTCCTCCTGAAGGTTTTGCCCAGCTACCTGGATTCGAGTTTCTGCAGCCCCGAACCCAACGGCCACGGTGTTCCAGCTTCTTTCTGTCTTCCTGATCTCGTGGCTTCTCCTCCTCGAGGCTCGATCCATCTTTTCTGACCTGAGTCTGAGAACATTGATCAGTGTTTAAAAGCATCTCTGTTTCATGCAAGGCAGTTCTGTCTCTGTCTTGGGTTTTTGAGGGTTTTCCCTGAGTTCATTCTCACCCGTCCCTGGGGGTGCCCCCCATGCGGGGACTCTGCTGCTTCCAGAGGGGAAGCCTTGCCGGCTCTTCATGTTCACGTGCACCTGTGCACAGAAAACAGCGTGCCATCTGCATCAGGACCGCTTCTGGCTTTTCATGCCCGGATCTCCACTCACAGTCCACCTTTCTCTCTCTCTCTCATGCACAATTGGGACCGGCCCCCTTGGCAATCTCATTCAGCTCAGTACCGTCTACACCTGAACAAACTCTGCCTTAACTTTCTAACCGGTGCATAACGTTTCTGGTGCATTGCTAAGGTGGGTCTACCCACCCTATATTCCCTTTATATTTCTCTGGGAACCTCCACAGGAGCCTGGCAGAGTGAAAGAGATCGCCAGGTACCATGTGCTTTTCATCTTCCTATTGGAAATCCCACAACATCTGCCCTTTAAAAATTGCTGAGAAAGAGGATTTGGGCTGCTGGATCCACTTGGTCTGTTCTGTCTTAGGAATGGAAAAATGACGCTGCACTGTCTGTCATCAATGATGTTTCCTACTCTCCTCTGATGTCTGGTGCAGCCACTTGGCTGAGTCTTTGCCGAGGAGATGCAAGAGGAAATTGGCGGTTGTTGGCAAGGTTTCCAGTTGCTGAAAGGGAGCCGACCCAGCTGAGAAGACCCTTTTCCACAGGGCAGATGTGATGACCGGCACCCTTGCAGTCATTTTAGTCTGTGAGGATGCAAGCCCTGCACCAGCGTGCCATGCAAGAAAGACAGGTGCCTGGGACCCTGAAGGACTGGGGAGTTGATATACCAGCCCTGGCCCACCTACACTAGGCTTTTTCTTTCTGAGAGAGAAATAAACTTCTGTCTTGGTTAAGTCACTCTTATTTGCATTAAAAATTAATCAAATAATCCTAACAAACAGAGTTCGAGATATACTTATCGATGCCAGAATAACCTCACTTTGAATGTACATTCATGACTTTAGTCATTTCTGCCTCTATTTGAAATATCCATTATTTCTACAGCAGTTCATGTTCTTAAAATATATATGTTTTAAAGTGGGACACATTACCTACGGTAAACATAACATCAGTGTCATACATAACAAGTAGATGATAATTATGGGAAAAAATCAAATTCTAGCTGTGTACTCTTGCCTCTCTATGATCTGCTGGCAAAGGAGGGACTGTAAGGCCAAGGTTGAGCATTTCCATCAGAAGTCATCCTGGAGAACCGAAAGCCATGGAAGCAAATGTCATTCAAGTTTATTCAAACCCGTATCTATGTTACCACCTAAAATCATTTACACAGCAATAGTGGCAAACTTTGGAAAACATTCCTCTATGAAGGGAAGAGCAAGTATATTAAAAATATATGGCTTCTGTTACACACTGGTCTCAGTTTACCTTGTGCTGTAGTGAGTGAGATTCTAAAAATGCAATATGGAATCTGATGAGCAGAGCATTAGTTATTCTAGTCCGTCCCATACTATTTCCTGGCAAGGCTTAGTCAAGAGCCCCCCTAGCTGTGTTAACACTGATATGTTAATACTATGATGACAAGGTTTTCAGAAACCAAACTTCTCCAGAAAGGGAAGGCTGTATTTCAACTCAGATGAGAGATCTTCTCTCCTTCCAGTTGAATTCATCACTACCCACAAGTGTCTCCTTAATCCATAAAATTACACCTGTCACAGTGACTTAACTTCATTAACGCAACTTCATGATCCATGGTGAATTATTAGCAATACAAAATCCATGACTCTCACTCAGGCTAATTAAGATTGCCTCTTTGCATTCTGATGATCTGATTCTGACTTTTACGAATAACTAAAAAACATTCAAAGAGAGTGGGGAGAACTTATAAAGCAAGACAACTTCTGAAGCAAAACCTTCTAATGTTAAACTATCTACTCCATAATACATTTTCCAATTATCCTTCAAATAAAGAGAAATGGTTCTCCTCCCAGGCCACTACTCACTACCCCAAATACTGGAGCATGGTATTTCTTCACTGAATACTGTGCAGACAGAAGTAAAATGAAAATTTCTGAAGTGAGGAGAAAAATTGAATATATTAATGAATATATCATATTCAAAAATGTCAATTTGGCTGTATACATTTTATTAAATGGTAATACATGCACAGAGCAAAAAATTCACAGTCCAAATGGTTCACAGGATAATGTAACTTACACTCAGCCTTCTCTCCCAACTTCTTGGCACCCCACCCAGGAGAAAGCACAATTGCCAGATCCTCTGCTCAAAAAGTACCTTTCCCTGGGTTTTCCCCCAAACTGGCCTTCAACATACACTCTGTTATACACCTTACTTTTTTAAACAGGTGTACTGGTGAGGATTCAGGATGTGTGATTCGCATCCCACCACATGTAGTAACAGAGACGAAGTGGAATTCTAGAACTGCAGGAAACAAACATTTACGGAGATCCCCATGTGCACCAGACGCTGCTGTAGGGGCTGGAACCAGAGCTGCAAACAGGAGAGTCACGTTCCCAAACCGAGAGAGCCCACACGTGCAGCCTTCCTCATTAGGCAGATCCTTCCTCGCTGTGGCGAAAGAACTGGATTCTAAAAACATAACCCTCCACCCACATTGACACATGTGAGTATGGATAAATCACATGACAGTGAGTGCACGTGCTTATACACCTATATCATCTGTGTATTGTATATGTGTTCTATAGAGTCCTGCTACATAGATACATGTATCTCATTACGGATACAAACACGTGGTGCATAGAGACATATATAATATACTATATATCATATATCACGTATTACCTACACAGACACACATAAGTATGTATGTCTACGCGTGCATGTGTGCCTTTTTTCATATCATCTGGACCCACAGTAGGAAACAGAGAACGGACGTCAGAATCTACAAAGGGATAAGGCGTGTTCTCCATAGGCGATGGCATTATGATATCAGGATTTTGAAGGAATAACTTGGTATTCCATTTGGGGCACTTGCTTCTGAAAGAAGATACTGACAGAAATTTAAAAAAGTGGCAAACCCCATACGTTGGTATGTTTCCATGTGTTCTGCAGACGCTGAGTTTCTGTCCCACTTAAAGAAGTGTTCAAGGCCTTTGCTTGACCCAGGAAAAGCAGCTTACACCTTAGTGGGGATGAGGCACCTTCAGAAAGTTTCCTTACTTCTCCTCCAGGCCCAGGACAAACTGAACTAATTCTTAGCCAGAAATTCAAAAGCAAAAAAAAAAGTTTAAAATGGTCAGAATCTCTTCACATTTCATAGAAAATACTACAACCACTACTATTAATAATAACCCACAGAGAAAATGCAAGAAAGCGAGCAGAAAACAAAACAGACTGGTTGAGATCCTTCCTCCCAAATTCCTCTCCTCTTCTGGTAAAGAATACCTGCCTGCCTACCTATCTGCCTAACTACCTATCATGTATCTATCCATACATCCATCCATCCTTCCTTCCTCATTTTTGCTAACTTCACAACACAAAAGAAATCTTTACTAAGGTTTTTTACCTCTACTTACCAAATCACATGACTGGCACAGGCATATTTGGATGTGTGGATATGTGTAATTTCGTTATGTGTATCAGTGTGCCGTTCTGTTACTACATAGACAGGGCAGAACTCTAGATCCGAATTTCTTCCTTTTCCTCTCATTTGCTCTACAAGCAAATCTTCAAGAAAAACTCTTAGAACACTGGTCACAAAAGGAAGAACACAGGCGAGAGCTTGAGAGTTGACGACCTGAATCCTGGAGCACCAGTGTAATAAGCAAAGGAACACAGAAGGGATCCCAAGTCAAACTGTCCCCAAACTGGCATCAAATGCTCCCTGATAATGAACCAAAAAAATGTATCATAGCCATCAGTTGAGATTCATGTTCTCGATATTAGAATAAGTAAATGGAAAACAAACGTTTTTTCCCCAACACTGAGCTATGAAGTTTAATAATCTGACACCAGAAATAACATGTTACATACCTGGGATTCATCTGCTTGTTATTTTTTCAATTTTCCATAATATACAGAGCAAAAACAAACCATGAAAGTAGTAAAAATATGTGACCAGACTAGGAATTCTCCAGAGCCACAAATGAGGTTTCAGAAAAACAGGAATAAATCAGGAACCACTGAGTTTCCAAGTCTCTCTGCCCAGCTGTGAGTTGAGGGTTTCTAATTTGGTGGGTATCAGACTCAGATTCAAGTTTTAATTTGTCTCTAGAGTGATTCACAATGGCCTATCATTCCACAGCAGACAGCCTGCCGTTCATCAGAAAGTGCGTGTGCACAATCACATACGTCTACGTGGCAAATGGGGAACGCACCCCACGTGTGCCCAGATACATACAGCGCTGTTGTAACACTTGAGGGACAGGCCATCATATCAGAGATGCCCAGACCCACAGGGAGGAGGCCATGATGCTTTGCAGGACCATCTGCAGATAAATCCCACCTGCACGGAGGGTCCTTGCAGGTGCCCCGCGGCTACGCTCAACTGTGGAGGAGGTCGGAGCCATCCATCTTCCTGGGAAGCACGAGTTATACAGAAAACAGGCACCACATGCAAACCACAGTGAGAACGGGATGTCAGCACATGCGGGAAGGAGCTCCCCGTCACAGCAAGTCTGGAGATGCCGGACGCCGTGGGACTCACCTGGTTTCCGAGCCAGCAGATTTCTTCTGACAAACGATGACAGCAGGTGCATACTTGCCACTGTGGTCCGTGCCTTCCGTGACCTCCCAAATGGAAGGGCTGCTGGCTCTCACCCCCACGACGCTCACGCCCTTCTGCACCTTGGCCCTGTAGGAGACAGCGAGTGCACAGCTCAGACTGCGCTGGGGAGCGCGAGGTCCCGCGGGTTCTGGGAGCACGGGGAACACACCTGCACACGGCTGCCCGGCAGGTGTCAGCTCACGCTCAACAGGATTTAATCACGTATTTGCCAGCACCTCAAAATCCATGTGTCCTAACTGTCCCCCAATCATTCCCACCTTTAGCAGAGGGGCTAGTAACGGTGCACGGGCAGTCTGCGGGCATTAAGAAATACAGCTGTGCTCATGGGTGGCTTCGGTTTTTTGTTTTTTTTTAAACAATGACTTTCTTGAAAACCCCCAGACTATGATAACTAAGCAGGAGAAGGAAATGAATTAAAACCGCATGAATGAAGTTAGTATTGACACCGCGCGCTCACGGACCCTCCCCTCTGCACCAGGCACTGACGGAAGCCTCACCTGGACTACCTGCTTCCCTCAGGCGTGCTCAGGGCCTAACAAGGGGCCCCAGCAGCACAGGAGCTGGGGTTTGAACACAGGGGTCCGACTCCGCCCACGCCCCCCACTCGCGCCCCTCCCGCTCAAGCCCCTCCCACTCACGCCCCGCCCCCCGCCCGCGCCCCACCCACCACACAGCCCCACTCTCCCTGCTGCCCTGAGCGTCTGGGTCCTGGCGGCCACTGAGCCACTGTGCCCCCCACACCAGGTGCGCTTCCCAGGTGTTACAGCCGCAACTCTCTGAAGTATCACACAGGTCCTGCGGGGTCAGAGCTTCCACGGAGCGGTGACCCAGGTGTCACCTGGCCCCGAACCACCTCGCAGCCCGAACCGTGCCCGGTGCTTCCCTTGGCCTGACACACACCCATCTGGCACGGCGGCCGCTTACCCGATCCCACTTACATTCCCTGCTACCCATCACTGGTCAGCGCCTGTCTGGAGATCGAACACCCACTCGGACTTTACATAGACAGATTTGCCGAGGCACGTGTGCTGTCCGGCACACACACACCCATTCATTCACTTCTTCCTCATCGTCCAAGGCAGGGGGACCATGATATGCCTAGAGGCTCCTTGCCAAGATACGAGGGGCCTCGTTCCTTCCCGAGAAGCTGGTGAGTGAGGAAGGGTCTCTCACAGCAGAGCCCTGATTTGCTCTCAGAAGTTTCAAGTGACAAACATACAGAACGGCAAGTGTACAATACAAAATGCAATGCATCGCACACCGTCTGATGTGCGAACTGGCCTCATGTTTGAGAGTCATGTTCCTGACGGGTTTTCTCCTCCTCGTCCCTTGGGAAGCACACAAGGAACCTTCCAGCAAGAGCTGTGGGGGTGAGCAGGCGACCGGGGAGAAGACCGTCGGGTGCGGGAGCCCTCCAGAGGTCCATCTGCTATGCACACACGGACACGGAGCCCCGGCCACAGACGCCGACCCTCCACCTCTGAACCATCCTGCACACTCAGAGATAAGCAGGGCGGGAGGAGGGCAGAGGGGGACATGCCCGCCCCTAAACCCCAAAACATGACCTCCCCCAGAAACAACTTCAAAGTACATTGTGTAGAAGACCCAGAAGCAGGTCTGGGGTTGGTATTCCAGAAAGGCCCACTGGCAAGGAGGCTCCTGGCTGGCATCCAAGCTCTGGGCTTATGGGAGGGGGTCTCCCCCGTTCCCTGAGAAGAGGGGCTCACCATACGCAAAGTTTGTACAAACAATGGGGCTTATGCCTGACACCCACTGGAGTCTGGAATCACGGTGCATGCCGGGCAGAGGGGCCTGGTGACCAGCCCCCAGTGAAAACCCTGGGCTTCTAGGCTCAGCTGAGCTTCCCAGGTGGACGAGACTCACACGTGAGGCCACAAGTCATTGCTGAGGAACCAGTGGCATCCCGCATGACTCCCCCAGGAGAAGGTTCTGGAAGCCTGTGCCTAGCTCCCCCAGACTTTGCCCCATGCGTCTTTTCCCTTTGTTGAATTTGCTTTGTGTCCTTTGCTGTAACAAATCACCCCTATGATTAGGACCCTATGCCGCGTCCTGAGTCCTCCTAGCAAGTCAGCAAACCGGAGAGTGGTCCGGGGAACCCCGACACACAACCTGATTTGACTGTTCTACAAAGAGAAGGGGAATCACCGTGTGGCCCTCACGATGCTAAAGCTGGAAGTTTTAGGAGGTGAGCTTCAATGGATAACATTATTTCTGCAGGAAAAAAAAAATTACATGTTTTGTGTTTTAAATAATCATCGTACAGGACAACACTTTGAAAGCAGCCATTTATAAATTAGGAATTGAATGCACAGGCCAGAAAGCCATCTCATTTTCTGGATACTCTGGTGAAACATGAAGGTGAATAAGCTATGATTTCTGCCTTGCAGCAACTCAATTAAATAGCAGGCAACCAGGATGTGGTGGCTGAAAAAAAGTTCAATTCACTGAGGACAGATGCTATTATATCGAGATGAATTCTAAGGGCTGTCCTAATTATGGTGCGCTGGAATTTTATTGAATCAAATTTGCTTTAAATAAATAGGTCATCATTCTGGATTTGGTGATCTTTTCATTCTATAGGAGATATCAGCACATAAGATTTTTCTGATACAGAATGAGCTCGTATTTTTCTTAAATTGTATTCACAAGTAGGTCATGTGGAGCTCAGATAATGCTTCTTCCGTGAATCGTTTTCAAGTTCTCAGGAAAGAACGTGGTTGCTTATGTAACCTATGAAGTACCCAGTATTTGTTCCTAGTGATCCTACTGCTATAGGACGCTGTAATTAATAACATTATTTTGAAGGGGACGTTCTTTCTGAAACATAGTGCAGGACACTAGGAGGTTGCTTTTCACTGGCACAGTATGTTTTCATAAGAGAAGACACATTCCTAGGGCATGTTGCAGATGTCCTGAATGGAAGGACGGATCCTTGCTCAAGAGGTATCCCTGAATGGCTTCTATCAAGTGCGAACACACACAGGAAACTGGGTGGTTATTCCTCGAACGCATTATCTATGGTGTATACTGAACAAGGTTTGTCATCGGGCTAGTCACTTTTACACACTAACCTTGCCGTAAGTCGCGGTGTTTGGGAACCATTAAGATAATTCGTAGGACATGTGCAGTTTGGCTTCACTGGGTTTGAACCAAGTGCTAATTCCTGCCTTCGTTTATGACAACCGAGTTACGTACATTCATTAAAGGAAGTTTTATAACCTACTTGTGTTTCCATCCATACAGGTTACCCTGACAGCTTCATTATACAGGGATAAACACAGCGCTTCATTTCCAAAGACACTCTGTTGCATATTTATACTTGAAAATATACCTACCGTAGTGACAGGGAAAACAGCCCTCATTTCTCCCATGGTGGGCACATGCATGGGGATGGATACAAGTAAAACCTGCTTGGGTTAAGGGCATATTGTGTTTTTAAAACATAGCAGAGCTATGGTATACACACACAAAACTATACACACACGCACACCTATACATACACACATATACACAGTTGACCCTTGAATAACATGGGTTTGAACTGCACACATCCACTTATGCAGGGGGTTTTCTCAATAAATACAGCAAGGACCATAAATGTATCTCCTCTTCTTTATGGTTTTCTTAGTAACATTTTACTTTCTCTAGCTTCCCTTTTGCAACGATACAATATATAATACATAGAACATATGAAGTACGTGCTGATCAACAGTGTATGTTATTGGTAAGGCTCCCCATCAACAGTGGGCTGCTATAGGAGTTACGTTCTGGGGAGTCGGAGTTAGACTCAAATTTTGGACTGTGCAGTGAGTTGACACCCCTAACTCCCGTGTTGTGCAAGGGTCAACTATATACCCATATACACATATGTACACACACATACACATAGAAACACGTGTGTATATGTGTTCCAAGCACAGCATCCAATAACATTACCGAACCAGCTAGGAACCCGGGTGCTGACCGCCATTCACACTTGATTTTGCTACTCCTACACCCAGTGTCTCCTATTTGGGGTGACAGAAGGACGCAGCATGCTTACAAGAGTTGTCGATTTGGTGACCAGCACCCTTCCCCATTAAAGGATAGAAACCTATGTTTCCCCACTGGTTCAAAGTCCAACGAAACCCCTCTGGGTCAAAGCAAAGCTTTTTACCAAAAATTTTCCTCGTGCCATTTGCTCCTTTTCTCTCATTCACCATGGAAAGAATAAAGCAGACTCTGTATCCTCACACACAGTAGGCTTCCTGCCACAGCTCACAATCACGCGCTGTGTCTAATTGCTGCTTGACCGGGAACCGTTTACAACAACGCCCCGTCCCACCGAGTCCGCGTGCCCCACGACCCAGAATAGTTCATTTATTGTCAGAGCTAAGCCGCTTTGACCCTCTCCCCACGTCCTGACCCTGCCCCAGCTAACAACATTCATGTGATTCTTTACAATGCTATCAGCCATTCTTTGTGGCTCCGGTGACACTGGGCCCCTCCTTCTATCCCTGGAAGGTCCTTGGCTTAGTCTCTGCCGTGGCTTCGGGACGACCCCGGTATACGCAGCAGCGCTACGGAAAAGCTGATCCTACATAAAATCTAAATCCTGTAAAACAGCAGGTTCCAATTCTTGCTTATTATCATGCACTCACACCAGTAAATTATTTGTTGGCATTCTCCCTTAATATGGGCATATTTATTTATCAATTTTGTGCTTGGACTACTGCAATGTAAATATACTAATAAAACATACACGAAAGGATGCATTAAAATGATGAGATTAGGAGAAACGTGCTGAGAAGTCCTGATTCTCCACTGTCTCAGCGAATCACTCTGCACACCCCTCGGGGTGAACATACATGAGAAGGTCCCACTCAAACTGATTTCCAAGTGCAGGACGAGGAAACACGGTGAGCAGAGGTCATGTTACAAGGAGGCAGGTGGATGGGTATTGACAGGATGCTGAAACTCTCCCACCGGTTCTGTGGCTCACAGCTTCAGGGGGAGGAGGGAATCTGTTTTCACGTGGCCATTTCTTGGGTAGCTGTTAAATTTAG